AGAGGCTGACGTTTCGGGCCTAGACCCTTCATCAGAAAAGGGGGAGGGGAAGGGGGTTCTGAAATAAATAGGGAGAGAGTGGGAGGCGGATAGAAGATGGATCGAGGAGAGGATAGGTGGAGAGGAAACAAACAGGTCGAAGAGGCGGGGATGGAGCCAGTAAAGGTGAGTGTAGGTAGGGAGTTAGGAAGGGGATAGGTCAGTCCAGGGAGGACGGACAGGTCAAGGGGGTGGGATGAGGTTGGTCGGTAGGAGATGGAGGTGCGGCTTGAGCTGGGAGGAGGGGATAGGTGGGAGGAAGAACAGGTTAGGGAGGCAGGGACGAGCTGGACTGGTTTTGGGATGCGGTAGGGGGAGGGGAGATTTTGAAGCTTGTGAAATCCACATTGATACCATTGGGCTGCAGGGTTCCCAAGCGGAATACGAGTTGCTGTTCCTGCAACCTTCGGGTGGCATCGTTGTGGCGCTGCAGGAGGCCCAGAATGAACATGTCGTCTGAGGAATGGGAGGGGGAGTTGAAATGGTTCGCGACTGGGAGGTGCAGTTGTTTATTGCGAACCGAGCATGGGTGTTCTGCAAAGCGGTCCTCGAGCCTCCGCTTGGTTTCCCCGATGTAGAGGAAGCCACACCGGGTACAGTGGATGCAGTATACCACATTGGCAGATGTGCAGGTGAACATCTGCTTGATGTGGAAAGTCTTCTTGGGGCCTGGGATGGGGGTGAGGGAGGAGGTATGGGGGCAGGTGTAGCACTTCCTGCGGTTGCAGGGAAAAGTGCCGGGTGTGGTGGAGCTGGAGGGGAGTGTGGAGCGGACAAGGGAGTCACGGAGAGAGTGGTCCCTCCGGAAAGCAGATAAGGGTGGGGAGGGAAAGATGTCTTTGGTGGTGGGGTCGGATTGCAGATGGCGGAAGTGTCGGAGAATGATGCGTTGGATCCGGAGGTTGGTGGGGTGGTACGTGAGGACGAGGGGGATTCTTTTTTGGTTGCATCCGCTGTACCCGGTGTGGCTACCTCTACATCGGGGAAACCAAGCAGAGGCTCGGGGACCGCTTTGCAGAACACCTACGCTCGGTTCGCAATAAACAACTGCACCTCCCAGTCGCGAACCATTTCAACTCGCCCTCCCATTCCTCAGACGAGATGTCCATCCTGGGCCTCCTGCAGTGCCACAACGATGTCACCCGAAGGTTGCAGGAACAGCAACTCGTATTCCGCTTGGGAACCCTGCAGCCCAATGGTATCAATGTGGATTTCACAAGTTTCAAAATCTCCCCTCCCCCTACCGCATCCCAAAACCAGTCCAGCTCGTCCCTGCCTCCCTAACCTGTTCTTCCTCCCACCTATCCCCTCCTCCCACCTCAAGCCGCACCTCCATCTCCTACCGACTAACCTCATCCCGCCCCCTTGACCTGTCCGTCCTCCCTGGACTGACCTATCCCCTTCCTAACTCCCCACCTACACTCACCTTTACTGGCTCCATCCCCGCCTCCTCGACCTGTCTGTCTCCTCTCCACCTATCCTCTCCTCTCTGTCCATCTTCTATCCACCTCCCACTCTCTCCCTATTTTATTTCAGAACCCCCTTCCCCTCCCCCTTTTCTGATGAAGGGTCTAGGCCCGAAACGTCAGCCTCTCTGCTCCTGTGATGCTGCTTGGCCTGCTGTGTTCGTCCAGCTCTGCACCTTGTTGTCTCGGATTCTCCAGCATCTGCAGTTCCTACTATCTCGTGTTCTAGGGACCTGGTTTCAAATCCTGCCATGGAAGATGGTGGAATTAAAAAAAAAAAAAAAAAATCTGGAATTAAGAGCTTAATGATGACCATGAATCCACTGTCGATTGCTGGAAATATCCATCTGGTTCACTAACATCCTTCAGGGAAGGAAGCTGCCATCCTTACCTGGTTTGGACTTCGTGACTCCAGACCCACAGCAATGTGGTTGACTCTTAACTGCCCCCGGGATGGTTAGTAAATGCTGGCCTAGCCAATAGCATCTTGAATTTTAAAAAAATTAACATGTAAATGATGGAATGCAAGAAATAAGTTAGCACAGAATTCCCAGCCTTTGATCTGGTCTATCAACTTCTGCTCAATGTATCTTCCAAGATGTTGATAGTGGATGTTCATTGATAGTAATACCATTGACTGTCAAGAGACGATGGTTAGATTCTCTCTTGTTGGAAATGGTCATCGTCTGGCAGTTGTGTGGTATGATGTTGTTTGCCATTTGTCAGCCTGAGCCTGGATATAGTCCCAGGTTTTGTTGCATTTGGGCAAGGGTTGCTTCGGAATTTAAGGAGTTGCAAATGATGCTGATCGTCAGTGAATATCCTGCTTCTGACCAGATCTCACAAGGGGAATCATTGAAGCAGCTGAAGATGGTTGGGTTAAGGACACTGCCCTGTGGAACTCTTGCAGTGATGTCCTTGGATTGTTGGCCCTCCAGCCTTTTGTGCTAGGTATGACACCCACCAGTGGACATTTCTATTGACTCCTGGATGCCACACTCTGTCATCTGCAGCCTTGATATTAAAAGCTGGCACTCTTTCCTCGCCTCTGGAGTTCACTTCAGGAAGAGCTACTCAGCCTTATCTCATTTTCTAACACTTGGGTCTGTATTCCTGGAGTCTGCAGGCTGATATAGATGACAACTTGAGGTTTTCTCTTATTTACCATTTTTTTAAAAAAAAAGTTCAGGTGGTTATTTCACAACCCTTGCACCTTTGTGGGTGAAAAATAGTGTTTCCTTACCTCCCCTTCAATCATACTACTGTTCACTTTTAATCTACTCCCTCTCAACTACTGACCCCTGTGATAATGAAATTAAGTCCTTCCCAAACCACTGTCGTCAGGCTCCCCGCAATCTTGTGCACCTGAATCAAATCTCCCCTCTTCTTCCTCTGTTCCCAGAAAACAGCCCTGACTATTCAATCTTTCCTTGGGTAAGCTGCAATTTTCCAGTGCGGGCAATGTCGTTGTAAATGGTCTTTGTACCTTTTTAGGTGCCTTTGCATCCTTTTGAATTGGGACAATTAGGCAGCACAGTGGCTCAGTGGTTAGCACTGCTGCCTCAGCACCAGGAACCCAGGTTCGATTCCACCCTCGGGTGACTGTCTGTGTGGAGTTTGCACGTTCTCCTTGTGTCTGCGTGGGTTTCCTCCCACAGTCCAAAGATGTGCAGGCGAGGTGGATTGACGATGCTAACTTGCCCATAGTATTCAGGGATGTATACATTAAGTGGGTTATAGGGGGATAGGTCTGGGTGGGATGCTCTGAGGGTCGGTGTGGCTTCGTTGGGCTGAAGGGCATATTTCTACACTGTAGGGATTCTATGAAATTGCACTGTTGTGACCGAACTGATCTGTTATACAGCTCAACTATAACTTCCCTGCTCTTGTATTCAATGTCTCAGTTAATCAAGGAATGTAATAGCAATGTTTTAGCAATCCAAGTCCCTCACTTCATCTATATCTCTTCAGTATCCTCCCAATTATTGCGTACGCATTTGACTTGTTGAACCTCCCCAGATGCATCTTCTCCTGCTTCTCTGGGTTGGATTCTATTTGCCACTTTCTTGTCCACCTGACCAGTGCAAATTATTTGCATTTGTTGTTCTCAGCAGTTGTCTAAGATTGGTCCTGTCTGAACACGCTTTAGGGAAAGTAAACTGCACAGTAACCAATTTTATAAATTAGTTTTTGGTTGCCTTTGGGTTGATGGAATGGCTGATTGAAGGATTTGGTGAGCATTGATTTGAATTCACAGCAATGGTTTGAACTCTCTCACTTCAGTGCATATTGGTCTTCTCCTAAATACTGTCTGAGACAGGAATGTTAAAATGTCGTAAGGTCATACAGCATGGAACAGACACTTTGGCCCAATTCATCCATGCTAACAAGGATTCCTAAACTGAACTAGTCCGCTTGCCTGCCTTTGGCTCATGTCCCTCTAAACCCTTCGTATTCATGATCTGTTCAGATGTCTTTTAACTGTACCTGCCTCTACCACTTCTGGCAGTGCATTCTATATACAAACCAACTTCTTCGTGGAAAAAGCTCTCCCTCCAGTCCCTTTTAAATCTTTCTCCTCACTTTAAACCTATGCCCTCTAGTTTTGAGCTCCTCTACCCTAGGGAAAATACCTTTTACTATTCACCTTATCTATGCCTGTCATGATTTTTATAAACCTGTAAAGTCACGCCTTGATCTCCTCCTGTGCTCCAGTTTTTAAGCAAAGGTCCCAGCCTCTCCTTTCATAACTCAAACCCTCCAGTCTCGGTAACGTCCTTGTAAATCTTTTTGCACCCTTTCCAACAATTATAGTAGGATTAAATACCAAAGAGGAATTTTGCAGACAAGGATAAAATTAATTCACCTCTTCATCATTGAAGGAAAACACTCTTTCTATAGTTCATTCTCTGTACTTGATAAAATGACGGGTAAATCATGAGGTTTGAAGCAAAGTCATCTTCCTGCTCCAGCCATCCCTGTGGGGGCAGGCTTGATCAAGCAAACTGCTCTTTTCTTGTCTGTTTTGTCAATTTAATTTTAATCAGCCTGTTCAGAGATGTTATAATCTACTTCTGGACCAGATGGGACTTGAACCCAAGTGGAAGCGCCACCATTATGCCATCAGAGCACCCTTGTCAATTTTGTATGTTTGTAAAATGTACAACTCTATCTCAAATTCAGTGGATTTGAGAATGTTGCTCTATGTTGCTACATAATTTAATTTTTAAATTGCAGTCTTTATCACAGAGATTGTTGCAGTGAGTGTGGCCCCATGGAAGGTAGCAGTTGTCTGAAATCTGATCCAAATGATTACCTTTTGGTTGGATGGTGAATTTGGTGATGTTTTCCTGCAGCATCCTTTGTGTCTCGGGGCAAAGGGATGTCGGTAGAAATTGTATGTTTGGGCTGAAAGTAGATCAGCTCTGTCTGTACTGTGAAACTTGTCTTCATTTCAGTTCCTAACTCGATCTGATTCTGGCATTGAATTTTCAGGAGAAGTTAGAGGAGCACCATTCAGAGAATTATAAACGGATTACTATGCTGCAGGATGAGCTCGCTGAGACCACTGCAATTAAAGACCAGCTGCAGAAATACATCCGAGAATTAGAACAAGCAAATGATGACTTGGAACGAGCTAAAAGGTAATGTATTAATTTGAAATTTCAGTGGTACAATACAATGCAGTGAGCATCAGCAAGCAACTGTGAGAGATATGCAGCAGGTCACGTTGCATAAGAGCAGGCCAATCAGCCTCTTGAAACCTCTTCTGCTAGTTCATTAGATCATGACTGATCTCCTATCTTTGGTTCCAGTTTCCCCATACTATCCTTGTGGTGCATGTAACACATCAAGTTTTTTGTTTTATTTATACATAAATATAATCATTTTATATAGTGTACAATGCCCATTCCATGGTACACACAGAACTGCAGGTAGATGATAAATGAATTGAGGTACTAGGTTTACTTCAAAGTTGCAGTGCAACCTGAAGACACTTGGTCATCACGAGTTGGGCAAGATTGGGAGCTAAACATTCCAAACCATATCACTTCACAGAGGACTGTGAAAGGCATGGATAACTATTGATATGATATACAGCTGTAGGAAGGACAAGGATGCTTAGACAGTGGAAACATTGTTGGTAGAGCTAAGGGACAGGAAGCGATACAAGACTGTGTGGCTGGAATTGTTCTTCCGGTCTCCTGCTAGTGGTGATAATTGTGTGGGGGTTGGTGAGGATGCAGGAAATCTGTAACATAACGGAGCTATGTTGGATGATTTTCACAGAACCATAGCTCAAGTGGTGAAGGCATGATTTTTCTAATTTATTCAGCACAGCTTCCTGGAATAGTCTGTTTAAAACTGGCAAGGGAACAGGCTGTACTTGATTTTTGTTCTGTCAAATGAGGAAAGAATTAGAATTAGAATTAGAATTGATTAACATTCTGATCTTGATGAAATATTTAGAACTGTGACCGCAATATGATTGAGAAGAGAGTGAGTGATCAAAACTCTTTATTGGAGTAAACATTTGAAGGAGAGTTGGACTGAGCTATATTATGAGTAATGGATAAACTTAAATTTGGACTTTTTGTGTGAAGCAGTTTGTATCGTGATTGTTTCTAATGGTGGGCTGAATGGCCTACTCCTCCTCCTCTGCCCCTAAAAGCAAAGGAGATCAGGTTATGTATTCACACAACATGACAAATTTTATGAACAAACTGGGTTAAATACACCTAGTGTTGGTGGAATGTTTCACTTCGAGACAGAGTTGCAGTGACATGCATGTTGTACCCTGGAACTATGGATGGTGCTAGTAGAGGTTCCAACTTTCTTCCCACTCTGACCGCCAGCTATTGGTGTATGTTGGAAAGATGCGCAAGTTGATGGCTATGGCTGGAGTTGTGCTTCAGTCCTCACGTTCTGCTAATCAAGGATTAAAAAAACTATTTTGTATATATTGTTTTAACAATCCATGCCCCTGTTACCCCCACATAGAATCTCTACAGTGTGGAAACAGGCCACTTGGCACAATCAGTCCACACTGCCCCTCTGAAGAACATCTCACCCAGACCCATCCCCCTCCCCCGCCACCTCTGCATTTCCCATATCTAATCCACCTAATTTACATACCCCTGGACAATTTATGGCCAATCCACCTAACCTGCACGTCTTTGGACTGTGGGAGGAAACTGGAGCAACTGGCAAAAACCCGCACAGACACTGGGAGAATGTGCAAACTCCACACACAGTCGCCCAAGGCTGGAATCAAACCTGGGTCCCTGGTGCTAACCACCTGAGCTACCATGCCACCCTGAATCATCATCCTACAAAATAAGCACCAGCATTAATAGTTGCTGTAAAATAAAGACCTGGCAGCTAACTCACTTGCTTTTGACAGTTATGAATGAAGAGCCGAAAACCTTTTGAATTGTGGAATGTGTAACTCAGTTGATTTCTGGTTCTGATGTTGACTGGTTAAGGTCCCTATCTAATAATCAAGTTTTTATGCACCGAGCAATGGTGGGCTGTTGCAAACTGGCTGTATTTCAGTCATGAAATATTGACTGTTACTTTTGTGAAAGTGAGGATTGTTTTCAAATTTCCGGTATACACTTGAATTTTAAATTAGTTTAAATGAGGAACATTTGAGGACTCTGGGTCTAGCTCTATGCAGCTTAGAAGGAATGATGGGGGGGTGGATCTCATTGAAACTTACAGAATACTGAACAACCTGGACAGAGTGGATATTGGGAAAATGTTTCCATTGGTAGGAGAGACTAGGACCCAAGGGCATAGCCTTGGAGTAAAGGGAAGACCCTTTAGAACAGAGATAAGGAGAAACTTCTTCAGCCAGAGAGTGATGAATCTGCAGAATTCTTGCCATAGAGGGCTGTAGAGGCCAATTCATTCTGTATATTTAAGACAGAGAGGCATTTTTGATTTTCAAGGGGATCAAAGGTTACGGGAAGAATGGGGTTGAGAAACTTATCAGCTGTGATTGAATGGTGGAGCAGACCCGATGGGCCGAATGGCCTAATTTCTGCTCCTGTGTCTTATGGTCTTAGGGTTTACATTTAGTGGTGAGCAATGGCACTGGGTCAGACAGTATTAGCCACAGCCACACATGCGTACAATTTTGCAACTTCTGAATTATAAAATTAAGAATCTAAACCTTTTGCAAATATTAACATGACAGTTGACATTTTCAAAGCATTTTTGAAAAAATAATTCCAGAGCATCTCGTGAGACCGCTTGAGATTGGAGATCAATAACAAAACAACATTTCTTCTTTAGAATGTTGTGGTAAAGTGTGGTAAAAATCTTTGTGCTTGCAGTGATGTGTATCTGAGTCCCTTTTTGATTTTACTGTGATTTTGGTTTCTCGTACAGAGCAACTATTATGTCTCTGGAGGATTTTGAGCAACGATTGAACCAGGCAATTGAGAGGAATGCCTTCCTGGAGAGTGAGCTTGACGAGAAAGAAAATCTTTTGGTCTCTGTACAGAGACTGAAAGATGAAGCAAGAGGTGAGCATTACTTTTGAGAAAAACTGCTGTGGATGTACAGTTAAATGTTTGCAAAAGTTTGCTTTTTTTGTCATTAGTGCCAAAAAAATTTTTAATGTTTGCTTCCAGATCTGAGACAAGAATTGGCTGTACAGCAGAAGCCAGATTCAATCAGGAAACCCACAAGCACTTCTTCAGATTCTGAAAATGCAACAGCCCAAACATCTGCGACAATGCCTTTGACCCCACTGATCTGTAAAGGACCCAGCAGTGGGTTCCCCACACCTGCCATGTTTACAAAAGGTAGTCATCCATGTTATTGAACAGTGTTTAAAATTATATTTTGAAGTGATCTGGAGTTTTCTGATATTGTCTGCCTTGTGTCAAACCTCATACAAAATCAGTCTACAGAAACATGACTGAGTCTCGAAATGGGAGTAAGTTAAATTGAGGGAAGCAAATCTGATTTTGAGGATTTATTGGTGGGGTGGGGGTTATAAGACTCATCTGGTGAACTACTTGGCACAGTGGGCAGACACTGGCTTCTCAAACCTGATTTCGGCAACGGAATTCCAATCCCACCTGGTTTCATAGAATTCCTACAGGCCATTTAGGCCCATCAAGTCTGCACTGATCCTCTGAAGGGCATCCCACCTTCTGCAGGCATAAGTCTGTATTAAAACAATTTTTTAATTGAATCTGATGGGTATGTTATTACACAACTCTGGACCAGGATAGGACTTGAGCTGAGGCCTCCTGGCTCAGAGATAGAGAGATTACCACTGTGCCACCAGAGCGCTTGACCCTCTATTATACTAATTTTTCTAATCAACCTGTTTAGAGATATTATAACATGCCTGTGGAGCAGGTGGGATTTGAACCCAGGCCTCTCAGCCCAGGGATAGGGACACAACAACTGCACCACACAATGGCCCTTTTGTTTTTAAAGACATCTGGGCATGTCCAGGATTTGGGCCCAGGACCTCTTGCATGTCTACACAGTATAAGGTCCTAAGCGCGAATCATACCTCTAGAACAAAGAGCCATTACCATGCGCCTGTATTATAAAGTGTCACAAATCTGGCACCAATTTGCAATTGCTCAGAGAAGCACAAGCGGAGTGTAATTGGGCTGTGGGTGGGTGCTGTGGAAGGAGCCATATGAGGGAGATGGGGAAATGCTTGGCAGCTTGTAGATAATGCATAATGGGCTAAGTACAATTATCTTTACACTGAAACTGTCTGTGCTAAATGCTGCATCCAGGTACCTACATTAGGAAGCATTTCATTTCTCGGTATGCAAATCCCTCACATTGACAACAGAACTCGCCTTGATTTGACCAACAGAAGGGCAAACTTGAAGAGTAGTTTCCCATTGAAAAGACCAATTTGTACATATAATTATTGTAGCACTGAGTGACCCTGATCAACCCAGTAGTGGGCCATAATTTGAATTGAGGCAACAGAATTAGTAATTGTGAGCAGGGGCTAAGATTGCTTTTTGATTCTGTTAAACATGTTGTACAGATGAATTCTGAAAAACCACAATATACAGTGGGATCTTTAGGGACTGAGGTTAAAAAACTTACAATTGCAGGGCAATCCGTAACAGTAAGGTGCAGACAGAGTGAGCTTTTAAACTCCGTTTCATAGGCAGAGCAATTTTATCTGCTTCTAAAATGATCAATTTAGGATTTTGGCCTGTAAAGCAAAAAAGAAAGCAATTCTGGGAGGAATATAATTTTCCAAAAGTAATATAAGAATCTATGTTTTGTATTGCTCGTGGTGTTTAGTTATTGCCTAGTTTCCGATTGCAGCCATTCTGCTGTTTGGTCTATCGGCTCTAGTGAAAATCAAGCTGTTTGGAGATATTATTGCACATCCTTTTGAGCAGGTGGGACTTGAGCCCAGATCTCCTGGCACAAAGGTAGAGACACTACCACTACACTACAAGAACCCTACCAGTGAAGAGGATATGCAAGCATCTTTACCCACTGTCACCTGACTTGATTCTGACTGAAGTGTGGTCCTTGGTGTGGTTTCTCTGTGCAGCAGTTCTCTGCTTTAATGGGGAAATGTGGGGTTTGATGTAAGGATAAGCTTTGTTGGTCAAATGGCCTACTTCATCAAAGTGAACAATATTGGCTTATTTCCAAGGGTGTTGTGTTGTTCCACGATTTTTTTTTAAACTCTGTTTTCTTTTACTTGGACGCAAATGTTAACTAGTCTTAAGTGGAATTATTTATATTGAATTTTTTTGTTTCTAGATGGTTACACTGGCAGCCCTCTGACTCCATCAGCCAGGATATCTGCACTTAACATAGTGGGAGACTTGCTTAGGAAAGTTGGGGTAAGGATTGCAGCATTTTTAAGTGCAGCATTCTGTGGGTTTCTAAGCCCCCTCACTCTCATTCCTGGCCTCAATAAGTTATTACATTGAATTGTACAGAAATGAGCCCTTTGAGAGAAGCTAGCTATTCTGCACCGAATAAAATCAGACTCTCACTACTGTTTGAATTATTCCTGAAATCTGAAGCATTGAGGTATGTTTGCAAGTCATTCGCTAATTTTGTATTCACTTGGGAACTGACCAGAGGAAAGCACTGTTTTTAGCCTATTCTTGTAGGTCTAAAAAAATTATCAAGTGTCTGATAGTTTCACATCACAATCTTATCACCTGAATTCAGCATTTTCCTGCGGAGCTTTTATTGTTGAAAGGTCTATGACTTGTTTATCACTTATTTCTCCTTTTTATGATCTGGCAAATGATAAGGAAAGCTTGCCTCAATCTAGCTGAAACCAGGAACAGTTTTCTCTCCTGGCTGCTTGTGAGAATTGGCTGACCCAATTCAGTAAACTTGGTATTTACGAATCGGTTGATGCTTTGCTTTTGTATCTATAGTGTGTTTGATCGATGTGAAATTCGGGAGGCATTTCTTACTTTCTAGGCGCTGACTGAAGTTGGTGTCAAGGTGTTTGTGGGTTATTTAATGTCAGGCTCTGGCAATCGATTGTTGTCCAGATTGTTATACAATTTCATTGGAGTTGTTCTTTGGGACACTTCTTTTTTAAACTAGAGAAAAGAAATATTTGTGTACATCTACTTTTTCTGTTTTTTTTTCCTGTTGTCACTCTACTGCATGCAATTTTGTTTCAATTGAAGATTTTCCAGCCACTTGTATGCGGCAACTTTTATTAATTGAGTTTGGCTGAAACTAATGGTCTTACCCATTGGTTTCCTACAGATACCATTTGGGCTGTTTATATTATTTGCACTGCTTTATTTTCCTGAAGAATGCAGTTTGTTTCCCCTAGTATCATGTCCACAAATGTTGTTGGCCTTTCTATTGGCAGAAAACACTTCAGCATGGTAAACACAGTGCCACCTTGAAGCAAAATCCACTGATTTTGTTTTTCTTCTCTTTATTCCCCCACCCCCACTTTGGCACTGCAATTTCAAAGGGGACAATTGTGTTCTCTAAGGAAGTGGATAATCACTGGAACTGATGAGTTCAGATTGGGGGATCTTGCTTTATCTGAATGTAGACTCTTGAGAAATTGCTGTGTTTATTTAATCTACGTTTATTTCACTGCCTAATCCAGATACTAAGTACTGATGGACACATTAAGCTGAGAATGTCACATTAAACAGTTGTGGTTTTGATAATCAAACATGATAGCTTGATAAATTGCGATATCCTTGCTTAATTTTTTGATATTTTATGTTGGCTCCGAAGGATTTGCTTTATCCTGCTATTACACACTTACCTATTTATCTTGAAGCATAATAGTAACCATACAACAGCTCAAAGACTTCACTACGCATTTTGTGATAGGCTGGACTTGTCGCTTGCCACTGATGCAAAGTTTTTATATCCAGCTTTGAGTCGTTGCTTTTCTGTGGTTTTCTTTTGTGGGTTGCTTGTAAATTTATGGAAGTTGTGTACACAGTATTTTTTGGGTATGTTGTAAATTTATAGAGGTCGTGTACAGTATTTTTAAAATGTAATAAATTACTATCATGTCACAATTTTTGTATGCCAGTGTTCTGTGACAACTTGCTAATATTGTTTTTCTGCAAATATTCTGCCACTTGACGAAAACTTATTGCTCGTTTCTCTTAATTGGCTTATTTCACTGCTTCAGTCGTCACTGGTTGCTAGACATTTTCTGATCAACCTGTTTGGAGATGTTATTGCACACCACCTGAACAGATGATATTTGAACCTAGGTCCTCTGGTCCAGAGGTGGGACACTACCACTGCGCCACAAGAGTCTTGTCACGAGCTGTTTCTTTCTTAAAGGGTGACGTAACTATACCCTAATGGCATATACAACTAGGATTAATAAGCCACAAGAATGCAAAGAGATCCTAGAGCAAGACTAAGTGTCCTTCCTTATCGGCACAGTTTGTTTGATTGCAATAATGTATCCCAAAAGATGTGCTGTGGGATCTCTTCACTTCAAAGACCCACACACCAACTGCCTGAGAAGTTTAAACTTCTCTTCGACAATTATGCTACACGTGGAATTCTTCAAGGAAATCCCCGCCTCTGTGTCAGAGCTTAAAATTCCCTTTTCATCCTTTAGTTCCTGGCATGCTAACTAACTATGGAAATTACACAGCCCCCACCCCATTGGCAGTACCATGCACTGCCACCATCTCAAAACCATTTTCCTGTCCCACTTGACATCTTCCCATAGTCTTTGGGAGTTTTCATCTCCAGAACATCACAGATACCATGTTTTAACGTGCAGATACCAGTAACGTTTGTCTCTTTACTTTGGAATTGAGGCAATGGGATCATAAACCCAGGTGATTTAATATGTATCAGAGATAGTAGGAACTGCAGATGCTGGAGAATCTGAGACAACAAGGTGCAGGGCTGGATGAACACAGCAGGCCAGGCAGCATCATAGGAGCAGAGAGGCTGACGTTTCGGGCCCAGACCCTTCATCAGAAAAGGGGGAGGGGAAGGGGGTTTTGAAATAAATAGGGAGAGAGTGGGAGGCGGATAGAAGAGGGATAGAGGAGAGGATAGGTGGAGAGGAAACAAACAGGTCGAAGAGGCGGGGATGGGGCCAGGAAAGGTGAGTGTAGGTAGGGAGTTAGGAAGGGGATAGGTCAGTCCAGGGAGGACGGACAGGTCAAGGGGGCGGGATGAGGTTGGTCGGTAGGAGATGGAGGTGCGGCTCGAGGTGGGAGGAGGGGATAGGTGGGAGGAAGAACAGGTTAGGGAGGC